AGCCAGCATCCTTGGAACACGAGCCAGAACCTGGAGCCCGGACCAGGGAACACCCCAGGCCGCAACGCACACGTAGGCCGCCGGCATACCTTAAGGACTATGAATGCGACCTCCCGGGCAGGACTGGAACTTAGAGGGAGGGGTGTTATGTACTGAGTTGAATAGGATCCAAACTGCAGCAGTCTGATTGGTCCTAGAACAATAGGATCCAAAATGCAGCAGTCTGATTGGTCCTAGAACAATAGGATTCAGAATGCAGCAGTCTGATTGGTCCTAGAACAATGCAGCAGGATGATTGGTTTGCAGGAACCACCCAGTCCTGCTCCAGATAGAAGTGAATCCACAACCTGATTGGCTTACAGTAGAATTCCGGAATTAGCCAATCATGTGCAGCCCATTGTGTAAATAATGTATATAAAGCAGATACTGTGAGGGGACTTCCATTTATTCCTCCTCACCACTATGAGCTAAATAAAGAGCATGAAATCACTTTGCGACTCTGAGTATATTTCAGTTGCCAAATCATGTTTGTGTTCCTTCAGCAGCAGCAGACTGCTGGCTCATCCTCACTTACTCAGCGCTGTCTTAACATTTTGGAGAGTTAGATCAGAGCCCCCATTTTTTACTTCCCATGGGAAGAGCAGCTTGCACAGTTTGCCCCCATATGAACATCTGTGGCATCAAAATTCCCTGTGGACAGATGAAAACCTTGAGGCTCTAATGCTTAAAAGAAGATGCAGAACCTAGAAGTGCTGCATCAAAACTGAATCCAACTTTTTACTTCTAAAAATAAAATTAATATACCCTGAGCGTATTATCAGCTACTCTGATCCAGAAACTGATCAGTGATTATTTCCTTTAGCACAAGCAAAGCCCTGCATTGTCCAGTGAAGATGGAGAGTGTAGATCAGGAAAACAGGATTAAAAATGAGCAAACTATTGCACGAGTGGGACCACCAAGTCATGGATATAACTTACTCCTACAGCAGCGTGCATTAGGACCACAGGAGATGTTTGTAATCTCTCCAAAGGTACAGTTCTTAGTGATTGGGGCCTGGCAAAACCCTCCCGAGTATCTACAAAATGGAGTTTCATCTGTTCAAAAGAGAGGGAATTAAATTGTCATTATTTGAAAGGATTTCTTGTGCAAAACATAAACATTCATTTGACTGATGTTTTGTTTTGAGCATTGGAAGAGCACTTCCAAGTATGAGAGCGTGAGGTCCTGGACCAGGAATTGGGAGACCAGCCTTCAAATCCAGCCTCATCATGAGGCTCACAGAGTGGCCTTGGGCCTCTCAGGGTGGTTGTGAGGATTAAATTAGGAAGAACCACAGAAGGCACCTTGAGCTCCATGGAGAAAAAGGTGGGATATAAATGCAATGAGTAAATAAATATTCAAAGCCTTCTGTAACAGCAAGTCAGTATTATTATGTCCCATAATACCGATGGGGAGATCGAGGCTGAGAGTGAAAGCCTGGTTTGCCCGAGGCCAGCTGGTGAGCTCATGGTGGTGTTTTACAGATTTGGATTGTCAGGCATGGAAAGTCCTGATTTGACTGACATCATCAATTTCACATAGAATGGTTGATTTGCGGGGGGGGGGGGGTCCTGTTTATATATGGGGATGCGGGTCGTGCTGCAGTGTAAACCACCGAGCCTCTTGGGCTTGCCGAGCGGAAGGTTTCTGTTCGAATCCCCACGATGGCGTGATCTCCCTTTGCTCGGTCCCAGCTTCTGCCAACCTAGCAGTTCAAAAGCATGTCAAAGTGCAAGTTGATAAATAGGTACTGCTGCAGCGGGAAGGTAAACAGTGTTTCCATGCGCTACTCTGGTTTTGCCAGAAGCGGCTTAGTCATGCTGACCACATGACCTGGAAAGACTGTCTGCAGACAGACAAGGGCTCCCTCAGCCAGTAAAGTGAGAGGAGCGCAGCAACCCCAGAGTGCGACTTCAGTGTCAGGGGTCCTTTACCTTTACCTTTTTATATATATTTATTTACTGCATATTTACCTCTTTTGCGAAAACAAAACAACTCAATGGATATCACTTACCCCTGCAGCAGGTTCCGTTGCTGCCACAGGGGAACCCATAAATTTCTCCATTGGCACAGTTTGTAGTTGCTGGGAACTGGCAACTTCCTCCAAATAGTAAACAGAAAACTTGCCCTGTTAAAACGAGAAGACAAGTAAAAAAAAATTATGGGGCAAAGAGGTTGCCAACTACTTTTTTCCTAACCAGAACCGTGCGTATTTAATGGGATGACCAACTTTTACAGGCTTCTGCTGCCTTTCAACCTGCTAACTACTATTTCATTGGCCAAAATTAGCAAGGGTCAGATCGGTCCTCCTTCTTTGCAAACATTCCAGCTGATTGTGGTTCGAGGACCCGAACCCCGCGCAGTGGAATGAAACACAAGGACACGTGATATAAGGTTAATGGGCAAGAAAAGGCCACAACTTTATTGATTACAGCAGTGAAAAGGTATTGGTATTGGCTTAGGCATTGGATGTCTAAAACAAGGGGGTTTATTCACCAGTAGGTGGAGCCTGTTGATGCTAATCCAACTATAGGCTCTCCCCTGATGTCACCGAGGGTCGTGCCATGGCCTCCCGCCAAGCAGGCATCGGACAGAATACACGACCGCCAGATTCCTTTAACGGAATACCCAAAAATTGAAGGCGCAGGCGATGGCCACACCTAGCCCTTCGACACCACAACACATTATTCCAATGCCTAACCGCCACCCGAGCCCAAAATGGGCTCGCCGCCAATACCCTCACAGCTGCAACCAATCCCTGATGCTGCTGATGATGCTAGTTAACCAAAAGTCATTCCCTTGGTCTGAAAGATGAACCCCATCATTCCGGTACCAGGCTTGGTCGCCAATCCGGATACGGTCATGAGAGATGACTCGGCCATACATAAAGCGCACCCAACAGGCTACTGCACGATTTAAGAGTTTCCTGGATTTTTCAATGGCCATACAGTTCTGCACACCGTGCCACACAATTCTCTTCAGGAAGGAGCACCAGAACACCGTTGTTCCGGGACACAAGGCAACAATCTCATCCAAATCTCTTTTTATGTGCCACGACAAGTCCACACTTCTTCTGCTAACAAAGTCATTTTCCCCTAATTGAAGGATAAGGATGTCAGGAGGGCCAAACGCGGCATCTCTCCCTCTCAGCAATGGCATAAGCTCTTCCCAACGCATGCCTCGTCACAAAAACCAGGAAACACGCACTCCAGGTGGCAATCCAAGGTTAGGGGTGAGGCCACAGCTAACCGACCGTAAGCGGGCCCAATGGACTATACCATGGCCACAAATCCAGACACTTCTGAGAACGGCTGAGAATAAAGGAAAGAGAAAGACGGGTAAGTAGAGGTAATGCAGCGGAGCGCATACTAGCGAATGTAACCTTTATAAGCGTCGGATTTCCACCGGCCCATTTCTTTAATCCTATCCGCCGGCAGACCCAAGAGCGCTGCTGTTGTGGTGGCGCCAATCCTGAATGAGTGTGCCGCATAATCCTGGGAAGATAAACCACAGGCATCAATAGCTTTGCGGAGTACCCTTGTGAATTGGTGTCTCAACAAAGGTGACCCATCCTCGTGAACCAGGAGCGGACCCGGGCCGTGCGGTCTGAGGTAAAGGTACCATCTAGTGTCTTTGACCGGACATGGGCCCCGCTGCACTGAAGCTGTAAGTTTTACGAGGGAACCCCCTACTGCTTGGTCTGTTTTGGATTGACGTATCCGCACAGTCATGCTAGCTTCGGTCAACTGCACTTCCTCCCACTTGCGTTAACCTCGGCTACCACTTCACCGACCCTCAAGGCGCCAAAGAAGGCGATCGCATATGCTGCGGAAAAGAGGCGGGCCTCGAACTTGGCCCAGCATATTGACCTAAGCTTTGTGCGTATCTGAGATAGCAGCCCGTAAGAAATTGGCTTACGGCTCTAGGGGGGTTGTAGCCTGCCCCAACCCTCAATAGCTCTGCGGATCAGGAAGTCACTGCACGGGTCAGAGGAAAACATGGCTTTAGCAAAGAAGCTGATGGTGGCTACGTGTATCTTTAAAGTTTTGGGGGCCCGTCCCTAATCGTCAAGATGGGAAAGGTATTGCAGAACGTCATCCGTGGTGGGTGGCACGCTAGGCGAAAGCCCCAATATCCCTGACCTGAAGCCCATGAAATCGCACCACGCTTTTTTGTAAGATCTAAGGGTGGAGGGTCCGACCGATGCTAATACTCCCTTAATCACTTTGCATCTCCAAGGTTCCACAGGTGGTCTGGAAAGGGTTCGGGCAACAGTTGAGCTCCAGGTGCTAGCAACCGGAAGCGAGACATCTGAAAGCGAGACCCTTAGGGTAAGAAAGGTTGTGGATTAATCTGAACTCACCATGGGTCTTTTGGGTACAATACCAAGGGGCGAGATGTGCAGGTTTGGGATAGGGGGGTGTACGAATGGACCAACCACCCTCCCTGCGGCCACTTCCTTAGCTATTTTCTTTTTCTGCAACCTCAAGCCTTCCCCTTACTGACATCTGGTTAGGGGAAATCCTTTGCAATTAAAGAGTCGGTTACTGGTATTCTGAAACCCTCTGACAAAACCAAAGAAAGGATGCTGGGCTTTCGTCTGGATAGCTAGACAAGAGGTTGCGGAGAGGAGGGAGCTGGATCAGTGAAAATGCTAGACCCGGAGGGTCCCTATCGTCTGTTCCCTGCTGCGGGGGCTCCTCTGGAGCTAGAATGGTGGAACCCCCAACCTCCCTGAAAGGGCTGCTTCTCTTTGTAACACGCTGCGGCTGGGTGTACCCCTGCACACCTCTCGCACTCATGCGGATACTTACAAGACTGCCTTTGGCATGACCCCTTATTGAATTCCCAACACACCTTGCGCTTTGGCTCCCTTCTTAAGTCCGGCTTACCCATGCGATAAGAATCTAATGGCTTCTTCTCAACATACAGGATGACCGCCACAGACCAGATGCCCTTTTCAAATTGATCCCAGCATGCTAGCGGGATCCTGGAAGCCTTCCTTCAGAACTTTTATCATAGCTAATGGTGGCGGCCCCCCCAAAAGGCACATGGGCTGTTTTGACTCTTCATCCGTGTTGCCCGTTTTCAACTTGCTCTTCTTACATACGTGCTTCTTCTTGGTGCGTCTTTTGCCTGACGGTTTGTCCCCCTCAGCTGTCTGAAGCTCCCCCTCCAGCTGCTGTTCCTCCTCACCGGCCGACGAGGTGCCCAATTCTGGAAGCTGGACCCTGGGCTGCTTATTCTGCGAAGGACTGGAAGAACTGGACGCAACAGGGTTATTGACACAGGCCGGCGGCCTCCTCGCAGGCGACCCAATGCGGTTCTGAGGACCAGATGATGCTGAGTGAGCCCGAGACCTAGTTTGCACTGCCACAGTTACTGTCCAAGAGCTTGGGCCTGCACCTGAGAACTGAGAATCGTTGAAGAGGGCGGCAGAGGTGCCTGGGAGGTCATCAACCTGGGTGAGAGGCGGGCTCTGCAGGACCACCTGGGTATCTGATATCATATCAGGGGTAGCAGCGGAGGGCATGGGGTTAGGGGATTGATCGGAAGAAACGCTGCTCATAATCATCAATGAACGATCTAAATGCATTTAGGCAGTGTGAAATAGGTTTGGGGTTATTATCCCGTCCATGTGGCACCTGCGATGAATTACAGCTATTGGCACCCATGCAGCCTGAGGTGTGAGCTGATTCCGTTGCAGAGCGCTTCCTCTTAGGCGCCATGGATAACATGCTAAAACTACTGCCACAAGCACGTGCTACCGCTTACAAGCGGTTGTACAGGGATGTGTTATTGATTCTGAAACAAATATACTAATTAACGATTGTTTTACTTATAATAAACAATGATTTCCCAAGCATTCAGTTAAATGTTTAATTGTTTATCCCATTAGTATGTGCGTGCGTGTGTTATTTACTACTCTCTCTATATATATTAATATTTATTATTATTATTATTATTATTATTATTATTATTATTAATTCATTTATTTATTATTATTATTATTATTTTAAAAAGATGCTTCCTACTTCATATTATAATATCTCATTCAATCCCCTGCAATGCAGTAATATACCGGGGTCCCGTACAGGGATCAAACCAGCAACCTTGGCATTATCGGCACCATGCTCTAACCAGTTGAGCTATCCAGTCTCTCTAGAATTGTGCGGGACCCCGAAGGTCATTTAGTCCAACCCCTTGCAAAGCAGGAATATGTAATTGTTCCATACAGGGATCAAACCTGCAACCTTGGCGTTATTGTCACCACGCTCTAACCAACTGCGGGTTCCGAAATATATGTAAATTATTTATTATTAATGAATTTTATTTTATTTTATTATTTTATTTGTTTATTTATATATTTATCTATAGATTTGTTTAATTAATTAATCAATTTAATCTTGGTATGTGATGTCATTCCACTTATTCTCTTTTATTATTATTATAATGTATATTTATCATTATTTATTTATTATTATAGTTTTGTTTTGTTTTTAGTTTTTTTTAATCCACTTATTTTATTTATTATTAGTAGTATTTTTATTCTATTATTTATCTATTCGTTTTTATTCATTTATTTATTTGTTGTTGTTATTTTTCTATTATTTATTGTTATTGTTATTTATTACAATCTATTCCAGTATTATTTCACAGACCCACATAACTGGCCACTAAGTCAGCCTTCATTCCATTCTACTGAAGGTTCCCCTTTGCTTTCAACATCTGTGTTCAACAGGGCATATTATCTCTGCATTTCAACATTCCTTTCAACATCAAAATTACAGCTGTTCTGAGCTTCAGAAATATCTTGCCATTTGTTCCCTCTCTGAGAATGATATTTTCTGTAATCTCCCCAGTAGTGTTGCCAATGTGTCTTCCTCAGCTCACACCCAACTGTGCTGGCTATAGAATTTCTCGGTTACCAGCCAGGTGAGAAGGGAGTAAGGCCCACCCATTTGCCCAGGGGGCACAATCTCTTCATTGGCTGTACTCATGGGATCCTGAGGTGGCAACTGTGGGCATTCTTTAACAAAGAAACTTGCTGGGTTAGGTCCACAATGGAATCCTCCATTAGATTTTTTTCTTTCCATAGATCCAGGACCTCTGAAATTAGAAAGGACTTGGGGATCATGCACACTAACTCTTCCAAACTCACAGCAATATAAATGACCACCATGGAACATGCCTTGTGGCTCAAGTCAACATCCTGAACATTTCTGCTTTTGCAAAATTCATGTATTCAAATTCAACTTCATTATTAAATAGGTTTTTAAATCCTTTCCTCCCCACCCCTTTTTAAGCAGCCAGATAGGATAGGAAGCTGCCAAGTCAGACTGTTGTTCCATCAAGCTCATAGCTGCCTACACTGACAGGCAGCAGTTCTTTAGCGTTGCTGACCAGGGAAATACCTGGAACTCAACCTGAGACCTTCTGTATTTGCAGCAGATGCTCTCCCCCCTGAGCTTCAGCTGCTCTCTTACCTGCAACAATGCGAAAGAGGATGAAGACCAGAGCAAACTTCAGGTAAAGCTCTCTGCCAAAGGGAAGGCACTCTAAGGCAGAAGGCAGTCGACTTTGGATGGAATAAGGAGGTTCTCTTTATTTATAGTGTTGCGGTGCCAAAAAGATGCTGAAACACACATTTGCGCACCTGGGGGGGAAACACTGCAAGCAGGTATTTCCTGCAGCTCTCAGCATCTGAACCCTCCAGGCCCCTTTTCTCTTAACTCATCGTAGGCAATTTATTCATCATGCAGACCATCCCACCCAAGATTTACCGGCTTCCATTTCTGGGCCAGTAGAATTCTTGCTGCTGTAACTGCATATTGGAAAAGTTTACAGTCCTTTCTTCTTATTTCCTTTCCTGTAATCCCTAACAGAAAGGTCTCTGGTTTCTTTACAAATGTATATTTTAACATCTTTTTCATTTCATTATATATCATCTCCCAGAAACCCTTCACTTTCTTACAATCCCACCACATATGATAGAACGTTCCTTCTTTTTCCTTACATTTCCAACACTTATTACACGTCTTATACATTTTTGCTAATTTTACCGGTGTGATGTACCATCTGTAAAACATTTTCATGACATTTTCTTTTAATGTTGTACAAGCAGTGAATCTTAGATTTTCCTTCCATAGTTTTTCCCAATCCTCAAACTGTATATTATGACCAAAATCTCTGGCCTATTGTACCATTACCGATTTAACTTCTTCATCTTTCATATTCCATTACAACATTATTTTATACATTTTTGACAAAATTTTACAATCATTATTTATCACATCTGTCTGAAACTTTGAGTCTTTTTCTGCATAACCACTTTCTCTAATGTCTTTTTTAAACATTTCATTAACCAGAAAATAATGCAACCAATCATAAACATATTCTCTAACTTGTTCATATGGCTTTAGTTTCCATTTTCCTCCTCCTTTGGTTATCAATTCACCATATGTAATCCAATTACCTCTCATATTTATTTTCTTTACACTCATAACCTCTAATGGAGACAACCAGTGTGGAACTCCTGGTTCTAATAGGTTTTTATACTTATCCCATATTTCTATTAGTGAACTCCGGAATATGTGGTTTCCAAAGCCTTTATGAATTTTCTTCTTTTCACACCATAGATAAGCGTGCCATCCAAATCTGCTATCAAATCCTTCTAAATCTAATAACTCCTTATTCTCTAATTTTATCTATTCTTTCAACCAGCAAAGACATGCTGCTTCGTAGTATAGTTTCAAATCCGGCAGGGCGAGGCCTCCTCTTTCCTTTGCATCCGTTAATAACTTAAATTTAATTCTCGGCTTCTTACCCTGCCAGATATACCTTGAGAGCACTCTTTGCCACTCTTTAAAAATTGCTACCCCCTTTATTATGGGGATAGTCTGAAACAAAAATAACATTTTTGGAAGGACACTCATTTTTATCGTAGAAATTCTACCCCAGAAAGATAACTTCATTCTGCCCCACACCTCCAGATCTTTCCTTATTCCGTTCCAGACCGGTATATAATTATTCTGAAACAAATCAATATTTTTAGGAGTTAACCAAATTCCTAGATATTTTACCTTTTTCACCACCTCTATCTCTGTTCTCTGTTGCATTATTTCTATCATACTTTGATCCATATTTTTTGCGATTATTTTAGTTGTCTTCTTATTTAATCTGAACCCTGCCACATTTCCAAATTTCTCAATCTCGTCCAATACTTCTTTTACACTTTCTAATGGTTCTTCAATCGTTATTACCAGATCATCCGCAAAGGCTTTCGCTTTATATTCATTCTGACCAACTGTCACCCCTTTTATTAATTCATTTTGTCTCATTGTCTTTAGAAAAACCTCTAGGACCGTTATAAATAGCAGTGGTGAGAGTGGACATCCCTGTCTAGTTCCTTTTGTTATTTTTATATCTTCTGTAATCACATTATTGACAATCAACTTTGCTTTTTGTTCTGTATAAATTGCCTTTATCCCGTTAAAGAACTCTATCCCCACATCCATATACTCCAAATTCTTCAACATAAAATCCCAAGCAATATTATCAAAGGCCTTTTCTGCATCTACAAACATTAATATAGCTTGTTTCTCATTGCTGGCAGTCAGATACTCCAAAATATTAATTACATTTCTTATATTATCTTTCATCTGTCTGCCTGGAAGGAAACCCGCTTGATCTTTATGAATAATTTCTTGTAATATCTTTTTCAGTCTGTTCACTAAAATCCCTGCAAATATTTTGTAGTCTGTATTGAGTAGTGAAATGGGCCTATAATTTTTAACTTGTGTTAAGTCTGAGTCCTGTTTAGGGATAAATGTAATGAATGCTTCTTTCCATGTTTCCGGGATGTCTCTTTCTTTTAAAATGTTATTCATAACTTCTTTCAATGGTATCTTTATAGTAACCTGATGTAAATCCATCTGGTCCTGGGGCTTTCCCCCTTTTCAGTTCCTTTATAACCTCTTTTATCTCTTCGTTTTCTATTGGGGCATTCAGTTGGCCTTTCTTTTCTGCCGGGATCTTCTGCATCTTTTTTTCTTTCAAAAATCGTTCTATTTTCCTCATATTATTTCTTTCTCTGTTTTTATATAATTGTCTGTAGAAATCCAAGAATCCTTTTCTGATTCCTTTCGGATTATCAATCTCTTCTCCGTTTACAGTAATTTTATTAATTGTATTTTGCTCCTTTCTCTTTTTGATTTGCCATGCAAGCCATTTACCTGATTTGTTCGCGAATTCAAAGTTTTTTTGTCTTAACCTTTTAATATTCAGTTCTATTTCTTTATTTATGATCATTGCAAATTGTGTTTGCAAGGTCTTAATCTCTTGTTTTATTTTTGAATTATTTGGTTTTTTAATTATTTTTTGTTCATTGTCCATTATCTGCTTTAAGATTTCTTTTCTCCCTTTTTCTCTGTTCTTATTCTTCAATGAATTCTGTTGAATAAAAAAACCTCTCATCACTGCCTTGCTTGCGTCCCATACTACTCTCATCTTCATACCTTTATTACTATTATCCCCAAAATACTCAGTTAATTTCTTTTGTGCTTTTTCTATAATTTTTGATCATCGAAGAGGTAATCATTAATTCTCCATCTAAAAGTTCTTTCCTCAAGTCCTTTCAGTTCCATTTTTATTGGATTGTGATCCGAAATTATTTTTGGTTGAATCTCAATTTGTAAAATTCTTGGAGTCAGTTCATTCGAGACCCATATTTGGTCTATTCTTGACATTGACTGATTCAGTTCAGAAAAAAAAGTGAATTGTTTCTCCAGTGGATGTCTGAGTCTCCAAATATCGATCAAATTGTAATTCTTAACCATAGAAAAAAGGTCTTAGGTAATTTTACTTCTTTACTTAATCCATCTCTTAGTCTGTCCATTTCCAATGAAACCACTCCATTCATGTCTCCCATTACTATAATTTTCTGATCCATAAACTCAAATAGTTTTTCTTCTAAAATTTTATAAAAATCAGTCTTATTTCCATTAGGTGCATAGATCCCGACAATTATCAAACTTTCGCCCTACTAAAGAGGCACAAGTCACTTCTCAATATTATATCCCTTCGCCGAGAAGAAAAACAAGAAAAATAAGTTGTAGTATCTCATTCCTTCCACTAGGGTAACAGATCCCCCTGTAATATATGCAGTTTAAAAGTTTAAAAGTTCCCAATTCAAAAAAAAGGGGGGGTTCCCAATTGCAAATAATACTGTACTCAAATGGCAGAGGCAGCTATAATCCTTTTTGGTTAATAAAGACTCAAAGAATAAAGTCTAAAAAACCTTTGTCCGCTGTTTCCACCAAACCGCCGTTCCAACAAGGTATTAATAATGGAGTCGGAAGCTCCTTTTCCGTTTCGCAGTTCTTTGTTCTTTTAAAAGTGAAAGTAAAAAAAAACTTTAATCCTCTATGTTTCCCTCCGTTACATCAAAGACTTCAGACTTCCTCAATCTTAAATTTCTGTTCTCCCTTTTGGCTTTAACAGTCCCTTAATACTTTGTAACTTCTTAAAAAGTTACTTTTTAGTAAAGTTCATGCAGAGAAAAGAAACAATAACCGCCAGCGGCAACTCACTTTTCCTTTCCAGCTCTGCGCGCTGCGTTGCGTCTGTCCTGATTCCAGATGAGAACTGAACTCCAAACTTTTCTCTCTGTGCTTCGAATCCTTCCTTAAATTATTGCCATAGAATTATAATCCAATTTGGTCCGAATTTCTTTTATTTGAGAATGGAGCGCTTCTCTTGCAAGCTCGGGGCTTCGCTATTCGGATGTAGAAAATGTCTTCCCGTAGCCCGCTGACCCGCTCCGCCGTTCTCTTTGCTCCTTTTGGAGTTACCTGACAGCTGGGCGGGCTGCTCCTGGCTTTGCTGGGAACCTGTCACTCTGGATATCCCCCCAGAGATTAAATTTGGGGGCTACTGTGCCCTGTAGCACCCCTTTTCATCTGAAATAGCACGGGATTCTCCTCACAGAAAAATCCCCGCTTGCGGCAGGATTGCGCTCCACCGGAAGTCCCCCTCTACAGAGCACTCTTTAGTAAAACAGCAGTGTTGAGATGATAGGAAATCTCCAGCAAAGGCATTGAAACCTAGGACAATGCATCACAGGCTGAGACTGAGACTGAGGAGCCCATAGCGGTCAAGGGTTCGGAAGCTGAACGCCTGCAGTTCTTTGAAGAGGCCAGTTGTGATGACGATGACACTAAGGATCTTGATGTTTTGATGGTGAAATGGTGGAATGTCTTTGGCTTGGAACCAGGAGAAAAAGTAGCACCAAGAGTAATACCAAGAGTGGTACCTCAAGTTACAAACACTTCAGGTTACAGACTCCGCTAACCCGGAAGTAGTACCTTGGATTAAGGACTTTACCTCAGAATGAGAACAGAAATCACACACCTGAGGCACAGCAGCAGCTGGAGGCCCCATTAGCTAAAGTGGTACCTCAGATTAAGAACAGTTTCAGGTTAAGAACGGACCTCCGGAATGAATTAAGTATGTAACCAGAGGTACCACTGTATCTCGAATGGCCTACTAGGCGACCAAATCGGCTCCCGATCGCTGCAAACCCGGAAGCAGGTGTTCCTGTTTGTGAATGTTTTTCGGAAGCCGAAATTTCAACATGGCTTCCGCTGCTTCCAATTGCATGTAGGAAGCTCCTGCAGCCAATCAGTGGCCGCGCCTTGGCTTTTGAACGTTTCCTGGAGTCGAACGGGGTCCTGAAACAGATTAAGTTTTAAACAGATTAAGATCTAAGGTCCGACTGTACATCAAATTCAAAGCTGAAAAAGAAAATAACTAAAACAAAAGAAGAAGAAAAGTATTGAAGAGAAAATGTAAAGAAAACACAAGCGTTGTGTTTACTGAACATGGGGAGTTAATTCACCAGTGGCCACCCACACAAAAATCTGTCCACGACGAAGCAGAAGATGATGATGACAGTGATGGAATCAGTCTCAACAAAGCAAAATAGCGGCTTCCAGAAGAGGACAAATTTGACAAAGAAGAATATAGGAAGAATTCCTATATTCAGAAAGAAAAATGCAAAAATGGAAGAGGAATGTGTCGCCTTTCTGGGTCGCAGTGAAAATGGTGATGAATTTTTTCCAAGCATCCTTCCAGACCCTGACAGATATACAGACTCAGACCAAGAGGCTGATCCAGAAAGCCACTGGGGTGGCCCTGGGATGGACAAGAGACATTCTGGTGGAAGCACATCAGCAGTAGAAACAGCGCCAAGAGGAAAGAAGACTATGCAAAGAGGACTTGTTTGCAACGATAGAGAAAGGCCTTTCCCTTGTGGAAGATGACTCATTAGTAATAATAATAATAATAATAATAATAATAATAATAATAATAATTTATTATTTATACCCCGCCCATCTGGCTGGGCTTCCCCAGCCACTCTGGGCGGCTTCCAAAAAAATATTAAAATACTGTAATGCATCAAACATTAAAAGCTTCCCTAAACAGGGCTGCCTTCAGATGTCTTCTAAAAGTCTGGTAGTTGTTGTTCTCTTTGACATCTGGTGGGAGGGTGTTCCACAGGGAGGGTGCCACTGCTGAGAAGGCCCTTTGCCTGGTACCCTGTAACTTGGCTTCTTGCAGTGAGGGAACCACCAGAAGGCCCTCAGTGCTGGACATCAGTGTCCAGGTAGAACGATGTGGGTGGAGAAGCTCCTTTAGATATACTGGACCGAGACCGTTTAGGGCTTCAAAGGTCAGCACCAACACTTTGAAATGTGCTCGGAAACATACTGGGAGCCAATGTAGGTCTTTCAAGACCGGTGTTATGTGGTCTCGGCGGCCGCTCCCAGTCACCAGTCTAGCTGCCGCATTCTGGACTAGTTGTAGTTTCCGGGTCACCTTCAAAGGTAGCCCCACGTAGAGCGCATTGCAGTAGTTCAAGCGGGAGATAACCAGAGCATGCACCACTCTGGCGAGGCAGTCTGCAGGCAGATAGGGTCTCAGCCTGTGTACCAGATGGAGCTGGTAAACAGCTGCCCTGGACACAGATTTGACCTGTGCCTCCATGGACAGCTGTGAGTCCAAAATGACTCCCAGGCTGCGCACCTGGTCCTTCAGGGGCACAGTTACCCCATTCAGGACCAGGGAGTCCTCCACACCTGCCCGCCTCCTGTCCCCCAAAACAGTACTTCTGTCTTGTCAGGATTCAACCTCAATCTGTTAGCCGCCATCCATCCTCCAAGTGCCTCCAGACACTCACACAGGACCTTCACCGCCTTCACTGGTTCTGATTTCAAAGAGAGGTAGAGCTGGGTATCATCCACATACTGATGAACACCCAGCCCAAATCCCCTGATGATCTCTCCCAGCGGCTGCATGTAGATGTTGAAAAGCTTCCGGGTTAGCGCCTCTGGCAATGGCGGATTTCCTCCGATCGGGAGGAATCCACTTCATGAGAATTAGGGTCTGGACCGCCGCGGCGAGGCGGAGACCCATTAAAAACCACAGGTGGGAGAAGCCTGTGGACGTGGGATTCGGCTGGCACCTTTCGTGCCTCCCCTACTTGTGGGAAAACCCAGTTTCGGGGATCCAGAGCGATGTGGGGTGAATGGCGCAGTGCTTCGAATCGACTGCTTTTTTCACGGAGTGAAGCCGCATTGCTGTTGCCGGAGAGCGCTGACTTTTTCCTGTGAACAATTGGATTTTAAACAACTGCTTGTGAATAGAACGGAAAATTGGACTATGAAATTTCTTAATTTGGCACTGAAGCGGGAAGGTCTAAACAGGAAGTCCGCCTTCCGCTTTTGTAAATAGATTGAAGCAAAGACATTGCAAGCTAGAGTCTGGAAAGTTGTCTGTAAAGGATTAAATTTCCATCATTTAAAATTACTAAACCCCCTTGGAAGCAGGAGAAGAGGGGGGAATCTTTTTAGACTGTTTAAACCTGCAGAAGAGAGAGTAAAGAAAGATAAATTTCCACTGTCTTGAACCTGGGAGTGGGGTGTCAGGACAGACGCTTTGGGGAAGTTCATTGATTGTGGACAAATGTTTTTGACAGATAGTTAAAAAAGAGAAACATATTGATTCCAATGTTCCCTCTTGCATTTAAAAGAAACAAAATATCTGAAAAAGGAAAGGAACTTTGTTGCTAGATTTGCTTTTAAAAAGATGGATACAAATGGAAATAGTTTCCCCTAGAGGGAGCTTGTGAAACTATTATTAGAGTCGATCTGGGGAGCTTTGCAGCTGTAGAGATTAAAGATCGTGGGACCAGACTTTGACCTTGAACAAGAATGTGCCTAGAACAAGCATTAGTGCTTGCTCTTTGCAAGACAAGTGCTTTACTGGAACAGCTACATGAGAAGGTGGATTTGATTTGAGTCCTAGTCCTAGAAAGGAGGAGGAGTGGCGTTATATGTCAGGGATGTGTATACCTGTGAAGAGATCCAAGATTTAGAACCTCAAAGCCAAAGTGAGAGCATTTGGGTCAAAATTAAGGGAGAGAAGAATAACAGTGACCTCATTGTGGGAGGTTACTATAGATCCCCAAGCCAAACGGAGGACATAGATGATGCCTTCCTGGAACAGATGGCCAAGCATGCAAAAAGAAGGGAGATAGTAGTAATGGGGACTTCAATTACCCGGATATTTGTTGGATGTCAAACTCAGCCAAGAGCATAAGGTCAAACAGATTCCTCACTGGCCTTGCAGACAACTTCATTGTCCAGAAAGTGGGAGAAGCAACAAGAGGAACAGCCATTTTAGATCTGGTCCTAACCAATGTGGATGACCTGGTTAGTGGGGTAGAAGTGGAAGGATCATTAGGCGCGAGTGATCATGCTCTTCTGAAGTTTACTATACAGCGGAAAGGAGCAGCCAAGCATACTAGGACTCAATTTCTTGACTTTAAGAAAGCCGACTTCATAAAACTTAGGGAAGTGCTGGGTGAGATCCCATGGACAGTAATACTAAAAGGAAAGGGAGTTCATGATGGCTGGGAGTTTGTTAAGAGGGAGATACTAAAAGCACAACGTCAGGCAATACCAATGAGATGGAAACATGGAAGGTGCCTAAAGAAGCCAGGGTGGCTATCTAAAGAACTTTTAACTGAGTTAAGATTAAAAAGGATGTGTACAAAAATGGAAAAGGGGGAAACAACCAAAGAGGAATTCAAACAAATAGCCAGCACGTGTAGACACAAAGTCAGAAAAGCTAAAGCACAGAATGAACTCAGGCTTGCTAGAGAGGTTAAAAGCAACAAAAAGGCTTTTATGGGTATGTTCGTAGCAAAAGGAAGAACAAAGAAACAGTGGGGTCACTCAGAGGAGAAGATGGTGAAATGCAAACAGGGGACACAGAAAGGGCTGAACTCCTCAATGCCTTCTTTGCCTCAGTCTTCTCCGATAAAGAAAACAATGCCCGACCTGAAGAATTTGGAGCAAATGATTCAGCAGAGGAAACACAGCCCAGAATAACTAAGGAGATAGTACAAGAATACTTGGCTAGTTTAGATGTATTCAAGTCTCCAGGGCCAGATGAACTGCATCCAAGAGTATTAAAAGAACTGGCAGATGTGATCTCAGAACCACTGGCAGTCATCTTTGAGAATTCCTGGAGAACAGGCAAAGTCCCGGCAGACTGGAGGAGGGCAAATGTTGTCCCTATTTTCAAAAAGGGAAAAGAGAGGACCCAAATAATTACCGCCCAGTCAGTCTGACATCAATACCAGGGAAGATTCTGGAGCAGATCATTAAGCAAACAGTCTGTGAGCACCTAGAAAGGAATGCTGTGATCACCAATAGTCAGCATGGATTTCTGAAAAATAAGTCATGTCAGACTAACCTGATCTCGTTTTTGACAGAATTACAAGCCTGGTAGATGAAGGGAACGCAGTGGATGTAGCCTATCTTGATTTCAGCAAGGCATTTGACAAGGTGCCCCATGATATTCTTGTAAAGAAGCTGGTAAAATGCGGTCTTGACTATGCTACCACTCAGTGGATTTGTAACTGGCTGACTGACCAAACCCAAAGGGTGCTCATCAATGGTTCCTCTTCATCCTGGAGAAGAGTGACTAGTGGGGTGCCACAGGGTTCTGTCTTGGGCCCAGTCTTATTCAACATCTTTATCAACGACTTGGATGATGGACTCAAGGGCATCCTGATCAAATTTGCAGATGACACCAAACTGGGAGGGGTGGCTAACACCCCAGAGGACAGGATCACACTTCAAAACGATCTTGACAGATTAGAGAACTGGGCCAAAACAAACAAGATGAATTTTAACAGGAGAAATGTAAAGTAATGCACTTGGGCAAAAAAATGAGAGGCACAAATACAAGATGGGGGACACCTGGCTTGAGAGCAGTACATGTGAAAAGGATCTAGGAGTCTTGGTTGACCACAAACTTGACATGAGCCAACAGTGTGACGTGGCAGCTAAAAAAGCCAATGCAATTCTGGGCTGCATCAATAGGAGTATAGCATCTAGATCAAGGGAAGTAATAGTGCCACTGTATTCTGCCCTGGTCAGACCTCACCTGGAGTACTGTGTCCAGTTCTGGGCACCACAGTTCAAGAAGGACACTGACAAATTGGAACGTGTCCAGAGGAGGGCAACCAAAATGGTCAAAGGCCTGGAAACGATGCCTTATGAGGAACGGCTAAGGGAGCTGGGCATGTTTAGCCTGGAGAAGAGGAGGTTAAGGGGTGATATGATAGCCATGTTCAAATATATAAAAGGATGTCACATAGAGGAGGGAGAAAGGTTGTTTTCTGCTGCTCCAGAGAAGCGGACACGGAGCAATGGATCCAAACTACAAGAAAGAAGATTCCACCTAAACATTAGGAAGAACTTCCTGACAGTAAGAGCTGTTCGCCAGTGGAATTTGCTGCCAAGGAGTGTGGTGGAGTCTCCTTCTTTGGAGGTCTTTAAGCAGAGGCTTGACAACCATATGTCAGGAGTCCTCTGATGGTGTTTCCTGCTTGGCAGGGGGTTGGACTCGATGGCCCTTGTGGTCTCTTCCAGCTCTATGATTCTATGATTCTATGATTCTATGATTCTATGATGACTGTTCCAGTCGGAAATTTTGGACAAACAGTGAATACCTATATAGAACCCACTCAGGAATTAATTCAGGAATGTGCTTTGACAGATCAAGTGGTGAAGAAGATAAAGGAGGAGGTTGTTCCTGAACCTCAAGTAGCAGAAATGGAGAGAGCTGCGGCCCTGCAGGAACATAAGTTGTTGGATCTGACGAATGAATCTGGAGAAAGCCAGATTTGGAGAGATGGAGTTCTGTTTGGCTTGGAGATGGGAAGCTGGATAGATCCCCTATGCAGGGATGTTTTGACCTTTCGAATTTGGCTTTGGGCCAGGGGGAGTTGGGAGTTGTGGGGCCCTTAACTTTGGAGGGACTTTGAAACATGCCTCTAAATATCATATGGATTTTAGTGTCGACTATGGAGAATGGGCTGACTTGTCGAGAAGGGACAAAGATATTGTCAAGTTGGAGTCTCCCCGAGAGAAAGGAAGGAAATTAAGAATAAGATCAGCAGAAGACAAAGTAAAGTACAGGTACAAACATGAAGAAGACCTGCGGAAGGGACATGGAAAAGACTTAAGAGCCTCGGATAGAAGGTCACCAGGTTGATGGACTAGATGGATGGGATAGAAAGCACTGACAAAACCCGAGACCAGGAAGAAGAGACGATGGATGAAGATTGGAAGAAAGTTTTAAAAATTTATTTAGAAAATTATCGTAAAATTAATGAGTACTAGAAAAATGTTGGAATGAAATTATTTGGCTTTAGTAGAAATGTTAAAAAGAATTATGTAAGAATATGTTATGCTTAAAAGAATTAGGTATAAATAAGATTTAAGTTTTAAGCTTTAGGGTTTTTTATGGTAAGATAAGGTTAAAATAGATTAAGGTAATTTAATGACAGAATATTGTGAAAGATGGAAAGGATTTGCTGAGATAATTAATAACTAGAATACAAAAAAGGGAGGTGTGAGGAGGTCGATGAAATAAGTTAATGGAAAATAAGGATTTGGGAATATTGGATTTGTTTTTAATTTTTTTGTTTATTTTTGTTTTTTGATTTTGATGTATTGTGTGTGTTTTTTTCTTTGACTCCGGTTTTTATTGACTTGTATTGTTCAATTGTTATTTTTGTCTACCTTTTTCTTTTTCTCTTGTTTTCTTTCTTTCTCTGTAATTTTAAATTCTCAATAAATATCATTTTTTTAAAAAATGAAAAGCATGGGGGAGAGGACAGAACCCAAAGGCACCCCACAAGTGAGAGCCCAGGGTTCTGAACACTCGTCCCCCACCACCACTTTCTGAACATGACCCAGGAGGAAGGAGCAGAACCACTGTATGACAGTGCCCCCAGCTCCCAGCCCCTCAAGAAGGTCCAGAAGGATGTTATGGTCGATGGTATCAAAGGCCACTGAGAGATCCAGCAGAACTAGGAAACAGCTCTCACCTTTGTCCCTAGCCCACTGGAGCCCGACCAGTGCGACCAAGGCAGTTTCAGTCCCATGATGAGGCCTGAATCCCGACTGGAAGGGATCCAAATGGTCCGCTTCTTCCAGGCGTGCCTGGAGTTGTTCAGCAACCACTCGCTCAGTCACATTGCCCAAGAATGGAAGATTTGAGACTGGGCGATAGTTAGCCATCATGGCCGCATCTAAAGATGGGGTTTTTTTTAAGAAGCTGTTTAATAACCACCTCTTTCAGTGGGACCAGGAAGGCTCCCTCACGGAGGGAAGCATTCACCACCCCACAAAGCCCATCGCCTTTTACATCTGCTCAACAACCAAAGATAATTTTTCCCCTTCCCACTCTTATTTCAAAACTATTTTTTGTCTTTGTATCAAAAAGGGACCTGGCCAATTTGGTTGCCAATAAATATTACTGCAAACATTTCTGAGATCATGGTCTTTCCAACGAGTGGCTCTTGTCCAGATTTTTTAATTGTCTTACCTTAAATGTTGTCAGGATCCTATGCCCTTTTAAAATGGGGGGGGTTTGGGGGGGTTATTGGGTTGTTGTGCTGTTGATAATGTATTTTGTGGTTTTATGTTTTGATTTTATCTTGTGAGCTTCCCTCAGGCCTCTGGGTATAAAAAGGTAAAGGTAAAGGTAAAGGTACCCCTGCCCGTACGGGCCAGTCGTGTCTGACTCTGGGGTTGCGCGCCCATCTCGCTTAAGAGGCCGGGGGCCAGCGCTGTCTGGAGACACTTCCGGGTCATGTGGCCAGCGTGACAAGCTGCATCTGGCGAGCCAGCGCAGCACACGGAAACGCCGCTTACCTTCCCGCTAGTAAGCGGTCCCTATTTATCTACTTGCACCCGGGGGTGCTTTCGAACTGCTAGGTTGGCAGGCGCTGGGACCGAGCAACGGGAGCGCACCCAGCCGCGGGGATTCGAACCGCCAACCTGATGATCGGCAAGTCCTAGGCGCTGAGCTTTTACCCACAGCGCCACCTGCGTTTATAATTTATATAGGGAGTATATAAATTCAATAAATACTACTATTACTACTGCTGCTGCTACTAATAATAATAATAATTCCCAATGTATTTCTGATCGATAAAATAAATTCAGTGTGGCATGAGCAAATTTTTATTCTGTTCAGCTTGGAAAAGAGGAGACTGGGAGGAGATGGCATAGCTCATTTTCTCCTGCTCTGGACTCAAAGAAATTGATTCAAATTACAAGAAATGAGAATCCGACTAAACATATGGAAAAACTATTTGACATTAAGAGCTATTCAACCATGGAAGAGTCTCCCTCAGCATCCTGTGGACATGGAGGTTTTTATTTTTATGTATAATATTTATTGGCATTTTCATTTCCAAAAAAACCAAAACAAAATACCATACAGTTTTTACATTTCTTATCATCACCTATATTTTGACTCTCTCTCGTCATAGAGTTCCCTCCATTCCTCCAAACGGACTTTCTAACTTCAGTTTGTAATTCCATCCGCATTTTCCCCATCTACCTTTCTTTTTACTTTCATATTCCTTATAATTGTAAATAAGCTTCTACTTTTGACTAGCAAACCTTTAAAGCAGTCCTGTTAGTGTTGTTAAATGTTTACAATGTTCTTTCAAATACATAATAAAATTGCTCCAGTCTTTTTCAAACTGTTGGTCTCGCTGGTCTCGAACCTTCCCTGACAATTGACTTGGAGGTTTTTAAGCAGAGGTTGGATGTCCACCTATCATGGATGCTTTGGCGGAGATTCCTGCATTGCAGGGCTTGGTGTAGATGACTCTTGGGGTCCCTCCCAACTCTCCAATTCTATCATTCTATGATTCTAAGAAGACTTGTTCCCAGTGCCTAACTGAATAATGTGATCTGTAATTAAATACATGTGAAAACAGTAGTGATGCCCTTCAGCTGAGGGACCTGATCCTGTTATTGAGGAGCAGGGGAAGCAGTGTCATTTTTCTGGGAAGGAGCAGATGAAGTTCCTTCCTCCACCAGGAATAGCTCTTGCTGGGAAGGAGGAGGTGTGCTGTGTTTCTGCTGAAGGACTTGTTATTGCTGGGATACAGTAGAAGACGTGTCTTTCCACACAGGGACTTGTTGACTTGAAAAAGGTTATCCTGCAGGTAAATCTTGGGATGGTGTCCAAGACGAATAAATTGCCTATGATGAGTTAAGAGAAAAGGAGCCTGGAGGGTTCAAATGATGACAGTTGCAGGAAATACCTGTTTGCAGCATTTCCCACTCAGGCGCGCAAATGTGTGTTTCAGCATCTTTTTGGCACGGCAACACTCTAAGTAAAGAGAACCTCCTTGCTTCATCCAACTTCCTTCTGCCTTAGAGTGCCTTCCCTTTGGCAAAGATCTCAGGGGAAAGATCTCAGTCAAAAAAAGAGGAGTGGTTTTCTATATTAAAGAAAAATGGAATCCAAAATTGGCATTTAAAGATGAGGAAGGAAGACACATAGCAGTTGAAATTACAGCACAAGGTGAAAAATATTTGTTATTAGGAATCTACACACCTAATGATGGCAAAGTGGAATTCTTTAAGAACTTGGAAACAAGTCTTTTGGAATATATGGATTGCAAATTAATACTGATGGGGGACTTGAATGGAGTTGCATCTACTTTGATGGACAGGACTCAGAGATCAAAGGTATCGAACTCTGGCAGACCACCTAAGGCTTTCTTTGACCTAACTGACAAATTTGATTTGTCAGACATATGGAGAACCAGAAATCCAATGGAAAAAGTTTTCACTTTTTTCCCCAGATACAAACCAAGTATTTTCAATAATAGACTGCATATGGATATCCAGAGACTTGGTTCCTAAAGTAACAAAAACGGAAATTTGCCCTAAAACTTGCTTGGATCATAATGCAGTTTTTATGGACTTAAAAATGTTTGTACAGGGTTCCTTCAGATGGAGAATGAACGATGACTTGTTGAGAAGTATGTCAATTGTTAATAAGGCCCCCAAAAACCCAAAGGATTATTTTGAACTTAATATGATCCAAGGAACGGAAACAAGGGTTATTTGGGAGGCCAGCAAAGCAGTAATGAGAGGGTTTCTGATACAACAAAATTCAACTAGGAGAAAGTCACAGAATGAGAGAAAAGATAAAAATTATGGAACAACTAAAAGACAAAGAGAAGAAACTCAGAGGAATTCCAAAGAATTTGCAGATTCAAAAAGAAATTAAGGTCTTACAGGTTCAGTATTCACAGTTAGTAAATCAAGAAATAGAATGGAAGTTGAGAAGGATGAAACAAAGCAATTTTGAATCTCCAAATAAATGTGGGAAATTATTAGCCTGGCAATTAAATAAGAGACAAAAGCAAAGTACTATCACAAATATTGTAACAGAAGAAAAATCTATAGAGAACCCTGCAGACATAATGAAGCACGTGAAATAGTGGTACCCACTTAGGGTGTAACAAGGATCACTCAGACACAGCAATTGGAGAAAAGAAGGTGAGGTTTTATTGCTGAGCAATAAGGGACCCAGATGGAATCCTTTCCAAAAGTCTGGGACCCTGAGAGATACAAGTCCTGAGGTTATATACCTGAGCAAATCACAGATCATGAGACAGTCACGAACGCCAGCGAAAAATAGCCAATTAGCGTGCTTCTTGCAATGCTCCTGATCTTACGCAGAGTTTTACTCCTAACTTCTCCTTTCCATTGTCTGCACAATGATGCACAATGATGTACAGTCTGACCTTTTCCCTACTTCTGACAGAACAGGGAAATAAGGCTTAGGGAGGGAATCTCCTGGTGCTACCTCCCCCTTACGCATCTGCTCTGTAGGGATTTTTGTGGTTAGGCCCTTCCTGTTTTGTGGACCATTTTAGCCTGTAGTTGAGGGGGATATTTGTACCAGCGCCTTGTGATTCATGGCTTCCCCTTTCCTATAGGGTACAGGATGTTACTTGGTGAAAGGTCGGTTCTGGACTTGCGGTTCCAAGCAGTTTGCAGTTAGCTAAGGCAAAAGCTTTTCTTGATTCAAGTGGATTATAAATTACTGTAAATAATTACCTGATTATATGTGAGCATATGTGAATATATTGATTACTGATAACTGATTATATGAATAGCATAAGGGTAGCCCCCTTTCCTTGCTTCAATAAGAAAATGTTTTTACAAATATTATAAACAACTGTATAAAAAGGACAAAGAGGATTTGGTAAAAATTGAGCAATTTATAAAGACTAATGGTTTGCAGCAGATACTGGAAGATAAAAAGATCCTACTAACAGGTTCAGTTATAAGACAAGAAATGGAACAGGCAATAAACTCAATGCAACTTGGCAAGACCTGATGGTCTATCAGTGAAATATTACAAGACACTGAAAGATTGGCTTCTTCAACCCCTGGTAGAAGTATCTAATTTGATTTTACGAGGGGGCAAAGCTCCTGAAACCTTAAAGGTGTAGCACCCTGCTTGTGGTTAACGCTTAGCTGGAATGAAATATTCAACGCAGCAATAGAGAAATTAAAATAATAATTTATTTGTCAGACAAATAAATGAGAGACACAGTGGTATATGGATACCAAAGCTCTGCCTACTCCAGCCCTGATGGCCAGCACTTATATTTCCTCAGCCCAGCCCCCTTGCTCCTCCTTTGGCTGCCTCTGTCCAATCAGCCTGGTTGAAATTCCTATTGGTTGTTTGCTAGAACCAATCATAAAAGATACACCCATTTCCTATTTCCTTTTATGGGAGACAAAGAGCTATATTTCCTTGTATCCATAAATGGCAGGCAAGTAGCCATATATCTTACATTTACCTCGACCAGGCACCTCAATTACCAGATAACCTTTGGCCCCTGTTGCCCTATTCCCTGCAAACCAGATGGCTAAAGCAGATGGTGCATGGTTTTTAATTTTTTTATCATAAAGAGATCTTGAGTTCACCTTCTCACCCACCATAATAGGAATCTAACATAAGAATCTAACATTTCTTACTTTCTAAATCCTTTGCATAATTACATTTAAGCCAATATATTTCATACATAACATAGATAGATTTTTAGAAGGAAAGGCCTTTTCAAATTAAAAGGAATTTAGTAAAAGCTAAGTTCCTAAGTTCTCTAAATTCTCTGAAGCTTCAGAACAGCTTGGAGAGAAGCCTTTTTTCTAATCAGCTGCTGTTCCTAAAAGCAACCTCTTGCAATTTAACCTTTAACCTTATGGCTGAGTCTTCTGTTAAACAATAAATTTCACTATTTACCAGCTCTTAATTGTGTTTTTGCAGCTTGATTGTATTCTGTAATTTGTATGGTCAGTGTGACCTTTTGCTCCAGCCTCTAATTTCCTTTTACAACCCTGAAATACTTTTTACAACCCTGAAATACTGCTATTTATAGCAGTGGGGCCCCTTGAACAGCTGCCAGAGTATTCAGCTGGTCTTTCCCTGGCATGAGAGATAAAAATATTTACAAATATATTTTTTAAGCTCAAAGCAGATCTTGATTAGATGCCTCAAAGGAAGCTTATATCACTCTGATTCCTAAACAGGGTCAAGATAGATCCAATGTTAAAACTATAGACCAATTTCCCTACTCAATGTGGGTTATAATTTTTTTGCAAATATAATGGCTAACAGGCTAAAGAAGGTTTTATCTAGGTATTTCCACAAGGACCAGGCAGGATTTCTGCCTGGATGACGTATGAAAGACAATATTAGAAATGTGGTGGATATCCTGGAAAAGCTGGAAGCAAGGAAGAGTTGTAAAGCAATGTTAATGTTTATTGATGCAGAGAAGGCCTTTGACAATGTATCTTGGCGTTTTATGCTATATAATTTTGAGAGTGTGGGGGTGGGCCAAGATTTTTTAAATGGTATTAAAGCGATCTATCAGGAACAAAAGCTAAAATTATTGTAAATAATGTGGTTTTGGAGGAAATTAGAATTGAGAAGGGAACCAGGCAAGGGTGCCCACTTTCCCCTCTGCTGTTTATTTCAGTTCTAGAGGTCTTGCTAAGTATGATTAGAAAGGATGAACAAATTAAAGGTATTACAGTAGGAACCAAACAATATAAATTAAAAGCCTTTGTGGATGATCTAGTATTGACATTACAAGACCCAGACTCCAGTGCAGTTAAAGCACTGGAGCTGATACAAGAGTTTGGACAGGTAGCAGGATTTAAACTAAACAAAACCAAAACCAAAGTATTAGAGAAAAACCTGGATAATGATGAAAGAAAATCACTACAAGAAAAGACTGGCCTAGATATTGTGAAAAAAGTTAAATACTTGGGGGTGAATCTGTCTGGGGAAAATCTGAATAAAGACAACTATGAGAAATTATGGAATGAAATTAAGAGATTTGGAGATAAGGTCAAATTTAAAATTGTCACTAATGGGCCGGATTTCAGTGATTAAGATGAATGTGCTGCCAAAGATGCTTTTTTTGTTCCAAGCCCTCCCAGTTATAGACAATGTAAAATGTTTTAAAGAATGGCAGAAAGCTTTATCTAGATTTATCTGGCAGGGGGGAAACCTAGAATTAAATATAAATTACTTACGGACTCTAAAGAAAGAGGGGGATTTCCCCTGCCAGATTAAAAAAATTATTTTGAAGCAGCAGCATTCTGCTGGATTAAAGAGTGGATGCAACTAGAAGATACAGATCTATTAGATTTGGAGGGTTTTGACAATGTCTTTGGTTGGCATGCATATCTATGGTATGATAAGGTAAAGGCCCATAATGCCTTCAAAAATTAGGTAATTAGGAAATCGTTATATAATGTTTGGATAAAATATAAAGATCTTTTAGAAAGAAAGACACCCAGATGGCTTTCACCAATGGAGGCAAAGGCCCAGAAAAAGTTAAATATGGACACCAAATGGTTGAGATATTCTGATTTATTGTTATAAGATGAAGAAGGATATAAATTAAAACCATTTGATCAAATTAAAGATAAGTTAAATTGGTTACATTATCACCAAATTAATGAATTGTATAAAATGGATAAGAAAATGGTTTTGCTTCTGAAAAATCCAAGTTGGAGACGGAGTTGTTGGATAATAAAGGTAAAAATTTATCGAAAATGTATAAGTTATTGTTGGAGTGGCATACAAAAGATAAACAAGTTAAATCTGTGATGATAGATTGGGCAAGAGACGTGGGACATAATATAATGTTTGAGGATTGGGAAAGACTTTGGAAGAAAGGGGTAAAGTTCACTGCATGTACAGTATTAAAGGAAAATATAATGAAAATGATGTACAGATGGTATTTGACTCCTGTTAAATTAGCAAAGATTTATCACAACTGTGATAATCTATGTTGGAAATGCAAAGAAAAGGAAGGAACTTTTTATCACCTGCCCTAAGGTGAAAGACTTCTGGGAAAAGATTTATAATGAATTGAAAAAAATGTTGAAATATACATTTATAAAGAAGCCAGAGGCCTTTCTTCTTGGAATAACAGGTTTGGAATTGCCCAAGAAAGATGTTAAATTGTTTTTGTATGCCACAACTGCTGCTCAAATTTTATTAGCTAAAAAGTGGAAAACCCAAGAATTACCAACGGCGGAAAATTAGCAGATGAAGATGATGGATTTTTCGGAGCTAGCCGACCTAACCAGAAGACTCTGTGACCAGAAGGAGGAGGAGTATCAGGAAGAATGGACAAAATTTTGTGATTATTTAACTAAATTTGTTAAGTTAAATTAACTGGAAATAGCTTGCAGGTAACAGATTGTCTTAGGAATCAATATATGTAGTTTTCGCTCTATAAGACGCACCAGACCATAAGACGCACCTAGTGTCTGGAGGAGGAAAACAAGAAAAAAAATATTCTGAATCTCAGAAGCCAGAACAGCAAGAGGGATTGCTGCACAGCGAAAGCAGCAATCCCTCTTCCTGTGCTGGCTTCTGGAATAGCTGCGCAGCCTGCATTCGCTCCATAAGACGCACACACATCTCCCCTTACTTTTTAGGAGGGAAAAAGGGAGTCTTATAGAGCAAAAAATATGGTAAGTTAAGTGATGTTGAATATGTTTATTTTCGAATTGAAAAGATATAAGGATGTTAACAGACTAAGTCAAGTTTATAAGAATTATGATTTGGAAAGCCGTTAAAAGGATATACATGGAAATTCAACCAAGGGGAAGTGAGGAAGTCACTTAACAATGTTATTAAGTGTAATTTTAATAGGGTTATGAGCATGCAAAAAGAAGGGAGATAGTAGTAATGGGGGACTTCAATTACCCGGATATTTGTTGGATGTCAAACTCAGCCAAGAGCATAAGGTCAAACAGATTCCTCACTGGCCTTGCAGACAACTTCATTGTCCAGAAAGTGGGAGAAGCAACAAGAGGAACAGCCATTTTAGATCTGGTCCTAACCAATGTGGATGACCTGGTTAGTGGGGTAGAAGTGGAAGGATCATTAGGCGCGAGTGATCATGCTCTTCTGAAGTTTACTATACAGCGGAAAGGAGCAGCCAAGCATACTAGGACTCAATTTCTTGACTTTAAGAAAGCCGACTTCATAAAACTTAGGGAAGTGCTGGGTGAGATCCCATGGACAGTAATACTAAAAGGAAAGGGAGTTCATGATGGCTGGGAGTTTGTTAAGAGGGAGATACTAAAAGCACAACGTCAGGCAATACCAATGAGATGGAAACATGGAAGGTGCCTAAAGAAGCCAGGGTGGCTATCTAAAGAACTTTTAACTGAGTTAAGATTAAAAAAGGATGTGTACAAAAAATGGAAAAGGGGGGAAACAACCAAAGAGGAATTCAAACAAATAGCCAGCACGTGTAGACACAAAGTCAGAAAAGCTAAAGCACAGAATGAACTCAGGCTTGCTAGAGAGGTTAAAAGCAACAAAAAAGGCTTTTATGGGTATGTTCGTAGCAAAAGGAAGAACAAAGAAACAGTGGGGTCACTCAGAGGAGAAGATGGTGAAATGCAAACAGGGGACACAGAAAGGGCTGAACTCCTCAATGCCTTCTTTGCCTCAGTCTTCTCCGATAAAGAAAACAATGCCCGACCTGAAGAATTTGGAGCAAATGATTCAGCAGAGGAAACACAGCCCAGAATAACTAAGGAGATAGTACAAGAATACTTGGCTAGTTTAGATGTATTCAAGTCTCCAGGGCCAGATGAACTGCATCCAAGAGTATTAAAAGAACTGGCAGATGTGATCTCAGAACCACTGGCAGTCATCTTTGAGAATTCCTGGAGAACAGGCGAAGTCCCGGCAGACTGGAGGAGGGCAAATGTTGTCCCTATTTTCAAAAAGGGGAAAAGAGAGGACCCAAATAATTACCGCCCAGTCAGTCTGACATCAATACCAGGGAAGATTCTGGAGCAGATCATTAAGCAAACAGTCTGTGAGCACCTAGAAAGGAATACTGTGATCACCAATCGTCAGCATGGATTTCTGAAAAATAAGTCATGTCAGACTAACCTGATCTCGTTTTTTGACAGAATTACAAGCCTGGTAGATGAAGGGAACTCAGTGGATGTAGCCTACCTTGATTTCAGCAAGGCATTTGACAAGGTGCCCCATGATATTCTTGTAAAGAAGCTGGTAAAATGCGGTCTTGACTATGCTACCACTCAGTGGATTTGTAACTGGCTGACTGACCGAACCCAAAGGGTGCTCATCAATGGTTCCTCTTCATCCTGGAGAAGAGTGACTAGTGGGGTGCCACAGGGTTCTGTCTTGGGCCCGGTCTTATTCAACATCTTTATCAACGACTTGGATGATGGACTCAAGGGCATCCTGATCAAATTTGCAGATGACACCAAACTGGGAGGGTGGCTAACACCCCAGAGAACAGGATCACACTTCAAAACGACCTTGACAGATTAGAGAACTGGGCCAAAACAAACAAGATGAATTTTAACAGGGAGAAATGTAAAATATTGCACTTGGGCAAAAAAAAATGAGAGGCACAAATACAAGATGGGTGACACCTGGCTTGAGAGCAGTACATGTGAAAAGGATCTAGGAGTCTTGGTTGACCACAAACTTGACATGAGCCAACAGTGTGACGCGGCAGCTAAAAAGCCAATGCAATTCTGGGCTGCATCAATAGGAGTATAGCATCTAGATCAAGGGAAGTAATAGTGCCACTGTATTCTGCTCTGGTCAGACCTCACCTGGAGTACTGTGTCCAGTTCTGGGCACCACAGTTCAAGAAGGACACTGACAAACTGGAACGTGTCCAGAGGAGGGCAACCAAAATGGTCAAAGGCCTGGAAACGATGCCTTATGAGGAACGGCTAAGGGAGCTGGGCATGTTTAGCCTGGAGAAGAGGAGGTTAAGGGGTGATATGATAGCCATGTTCAACTATATAAAAGGATGTCACATAGAGGAGGGAGAAAGGTTGTTTTCTGCTGCTCCAGAGAAGCGGACACGGAGCAATGGATCCAAACTACAAGAAAGAAGATTCCACCTAAACATTAGGAAGAACTTCCTGAGAGTAAGAGCTGTTCGACAGTGGAATTTGCTGCCAAGGAGTGTGGTGGAGTCTCCTTCTTTGGAGGTCTTTAAGCAGAGGCTTGACAACCATATGTCAGGAGTGCTCTGATGGTGTTTCCTGCTTGGCAGGGGGTTGGACTCGATGGCCCTTGTGGTCTCTTCCAGCTCTATGATTCTATGATTCTATGTTTGTATGTTTGTTTCTTTGTTTGTTTGTTTGTTTGTTTGTTTATAATTTTGTGAAAATTAATTTTAAAAATTTGAAAAAAATAAAAATAAAATTCACCTGTCTTGGGAGACACTCAAGCCAGTCGTTTGCCTTCTAAAAACCTGGGTTTAGAATTGGCCACAGACAAGAATGGATCTATTAAATTATTTCTCATCTGCAGCCTAGGATTGCAGTTGCTTTTTAAATAGCTATTCATTTCCCAAATATTTCTAAAATGCAGCAATAGCTTTCACCATTGTCAGGGAACTGACATTGGAGCTAGAGGTGGAGGGAAGGCTCTCCAATGATGCTGGAGAAGGGCCCAGCAGGGAGAGAGGCAGCTCAGCAGATGGGGAAGCAATTCAGTGCAACACCAGGAATAAGGAGGGGCAGATGGGGGAATCGGCGAGAGGGCTCCCAGACTCTTCACCGGACACCAGCGGGGAGAGCACTGGTCCTCCGCTACCCACGCCCTCCCTGCGCAGAAGACTTCCGCGCAGAGAAAGTAGGAGGAGACTGGGTGTCAAACAACTTTTATGTTGGAAAAGGTTTAAGAAACGCCCACTGACGGATTCTGCTAGCGACTGAGGCAGCCACGAATTGAAGGGCTGTCCAGACAGAAAGGTTTAACAAGGCAACATAGCCAGGAGAGGCAGCAACTTACGCACGAGCAACCCCATACCATTATAATCTGGTAAAGATGTCATGTGGACATTCATGTGGCTTACGTACCTTCTGCCCTTTTGGTGCATGCTTTTCTTATCTTCTCTTGCCCAGAACAATGCACATTGACGCAGTATTTTCTATGGCCATTGTTCATTGTGTTCACTCACTTTCTCCTTTTTGTGATGGCCATGATCAGCTGACCCCCAACCTGCTGGACTCCAAAGGAGGAACTCTATGTCTTTGATAACAGAATAAATGATGTAAGGAGGGAGCTGCAACCCAAGAGAGGAAAAGAGGTAGTAAGGGAACACCTAGCTACTTTAAATTAATTAAGATCTCCAGGGCCTGATGAGCTGCATCCAAGGGTACTAAAGGAACTTGCACATGTAATTTCAGGGCCTTTGTCCATTATCTTTGAGAATTCTTGGAGAACAGGTGAGGTCACTACAGGCTGGAGGCAGGCAAATGTTGTGCCCATCTTCAAAAAGTGGAAAAAGGAAGACCAAGGTAACTACTGACTGGTGAGCTTGACATTTATATCATGGAAGGTCCTAAAAGGTAAAGGTAAAGGGACCCCTGACCATTAGGTCCAGTCATGGCCGACTCTGGGGTTGTGGCACTCATCTCGCTTTATTGGCCGAGGGAGCCAGCGTACAGCTTCCGGGTCATGTGGCCGGCATGACTAAGCCGCTTCTGGTGAACCAGAGCAGCGCACAGAAATGCCGTTTACCTTCCCACTGGAGCAGTACCTATTTATCTACTTGCACTTTGACATGCATTCGAACTGCTAGGTTGGCAGGAGCAGGGACTGAGCAATGGGAGCTCACTCCATTGCGGGGATTCAAACCACCGACCTTCTGATTGGCAAGTCCTAGGCTCTGTGGTTTAACCCACAGCGCCACCTGCATCCCAGGTCTATAAGGTGCTATTGAACAAATTTTTTTTATTTTTTTATTTTTATATAGATAAATATGGAGTGTGAGAGGTGCATCATTCCATACATGTTTTTCAGAAGAATAGGTCACTTTACTCCTTTGTTTTTATCTGCCTAACACATCCTTCTGTGGCACTGATTCCCACCCAACTTCCATCACCAGCTATCTCTAACCTTGTTGAACCATCAAAGTCAAATAGGTTTTGGTTTGGACCTTCATTGGCTGCAGATTCATAGCAAGTCATGTATTCTATGTTCTATATTCTCTGTTCTGAGGACTAGAAAAACAACATCTACAAAATGTCAGAATCTATGCAAGGAATTTGCTGATACATGCATGGCATCTATTCCAGGCCTTCCCTATATTACACAGCTGAACCCCTGACTGTAAGCACCATTGATTCTTCAGCCCATCTTCTGTCCTTCTTTCTGTGTTCATCCGGAGAATCCAACCAGAGCACCATGAGAATTCTCTCATGAGGAGTCTCTAAAGGCAGAAATCAGTCCACCAATATTAACCTTAAAAACAAGCAACAAACATACAGGAGTTACTTCAGATTCATAGCAAGGTCACAATGTCTGATACATGAAAATACAACGGAAGTCATGTTGGTCCATAAGAAACATTCCCCCCAAAAAACTGACCATTGAGTAGGGATCGATGAATCTCCCCAATTCAGTTCTTCATTTTAAGAAGCTGAATTGGGTAGAGTCACCTTTCAATGAGAACTGAATCAAATGTTTGCCCCCCTCCCTCCCAATGGGTGCTTTGTTTGCTAGGAGCGACAAAAAATGTCACAATATAACAAGCAAGCTTGGGAGGTCTAATATTGGCTATTTGCTGGTTCTAGAAGAAGAAGAAGAAGAAGAAGAAGAAGAAGAAGAAGAAGAAGAGGAGGAGGAGGAGGAGGAGGAGGAGGAGTAGTTTGGATTTGATATCCCGCTTTATCACTACCCGAAGGAGTCTCAAAGCAGCTAACATTCTCCTTTCCCTTCCTCCCCCATAACAAATACTGTGAGGTGAGTGGGGCTGAGAGACTTCAAAGAAGTGTGACTAGCCCAAGGTCACCCAGCAGCTGCATGTGGAGGAGCAGGGAAGCGAACCCGGTTCCCCAGATTACGAGACTACTGCTCTTAACCACTATACCACACTGGCTCTCTTGACTTTGCTATGGACCTTTTTGGCTACAATATTCTGGGCCAGGTGGGAATTTTTCCACTTGGCAAATTGGCTCTGGCCCTGTGGTTTTTGCCTTCCTCTTAACACTCGTCATAACTTTGTGTGGCTAGGCATTGGGTAAGCCTTATTCTTGAATGGAAGGGAGGTTGTAGCCTCTGCCTGCCCCTCCCTGGGAAATGGTATCTGTGAGGAGATGCTTCTGTTTGGATGCCCAGGTGGGGATTTGGGTCCTAGCACTCCTCCAACGGGGACCCCTAGGGGATGCCCCTATTTGATGTGGGTCATAGGGGGCCCCACCTTAGGTTGGGCTTACCCTAGAATACAATCCCAGCAGACGGGCTGGATTTAGAATGGTATACCCAATGCCAATGCCAAAGCCTTCACATATACAGTGCTACCTTGGGTTAAGTACTTAATTTGTTCCGGAGGTCTGTTCTTAACCTGAAACTGTTCTTAACCTGAAGCACCACTTTAGCTAATGGAGCCTCCTGCTGCCGCCGCGCCGCCGGAGCCCGATTTCTGTACTTATCCTGAAGCAAAGTTCTTAACCTGAAGCACTATTTCTGGGTTAGCGGAGTGTGTAACCTGAAGCGTATGTAACCCGAGGTACCACTGTATAAACAATAAAGTTGTGGCCTATTTGACCTTTTCTTCACTTACAACTCATTGCCCTGTCTGGTTATTTTATTATATCAGAGGTGAGGAGGTCACAGAGCCTTGGCATGCCATCATTTACAGTTCCAGCTACCCCTGCTGCTCCTTTGCCTCTTAGTACCCCCTAAATAGTCTCCTCATCCCCCCAAGGGGCAGTATGTCAGGCAGCAGAGGAACCACCCTCATGGCAGTTTGCCAGGAATGGATAAGACAAGGAATGTTTCTTACTATACGCTTTTATTCAATATTCACAGAGGGTGTTTTGGAACACTGCCTCTTGGATAATGGCATTGTCCCGAGTGACTCTTTACCCCCCCCCTTTTCTCCCACTTCCTCATTCATCACTGTCATCACCTCCCCTATGGGTGCCACTTAGTGCCCTCTGTCTCTCAGCTCTTTGCTCTCCTATTTTCAAGGCTTGCTGGGTTCTGGGAGGGGGGGTCAGGAATGCTTTCTAAAGACACTGTCTATCAGCTGTCGCTCTCCTGGTGCTTCTTCTTCCTCCTCCTCCTCTCCTATTATTCCCCACCTTTCCCCCTCATCTGCCTCTAAGTTGTGTCCTCCCTCAAACCTCGGTTGTAATTCTGGACTGTCTTCCTCTTCTCTGGCAGGGTCAGATTGGGGAGGTGGTCTCCACCATTCCTCCTCTGCCCTGTCCCTGATACCTCCACACCTCTGAATCCAGCCAGTCCATGACATTTGGTTGTATTAATTGGGGGAGGGGGCAACATGGTATCTGGAGCATCTCAGTACCCTCAAAAACTCCACCTTCTATTTTGGGGCAGGGGAAGAGATGGGAGCCAGTTTTGAGGATACATTGGTTGCTTATTTTGTCTGTGTTCATGGAAGCGATAAACATTTGTGGCCTTCTTTTTTTTTTGTGGGAGTTGGGGGGGGTAGTTCAGGGTCTCAGCATCACCTGTTTTGATTGACACAAAAGCCCTTTCCTGGTGTTGTTACCTGGCAACTGGTATTCAGGGGTGCCCAATGATCCTGGAGATAATGTATGGGTATCGTGACTAGCTAGGGTTCCCCAGCTGGTCCCTCTCCCCAGTCCTCTGCATTTTGCTGCTCCATGTGATGGCCTGGGACCCAGGCTCAGACTCGGAGCCAGAGGAGTCTCAGTCCACACCGGATCCTTTGCCTCAGGCAGCAGCTAAACCAAGTCTGCGGCCTGATTGTGAAGAGCCCCAGTCTGCACAGGTTCCCCTGCAACAAACACCAGATGGGCCGAGTCAGGGGCCTGAGCCTGCCCTGGCTCTAGATATGGGGATGACCTCGTTGCCTCCAGCTGACTCCTCACAGAACCCTTGGATTCGGGACTGGACCTGGACCACATTAGCCGGGTTACCACCGGGCCCAGCACACTCCATGACAATATGGTGGGAGTGTCCCATGAGCTAGGGAAGAGCTAGAGGAGCAAGGTTGACTGATGCTACCTTAAAGGACTTTGTACACTGGGAAAAGGCCCTGTAAACGCCAAGCATCTGAACTGTATGTTTTGCCCCCACAGCCCCACAGTCCTCCCTCCGTGGCGGCCCTCTGCAAGAAGCACACAGAATTCGTCAAGGATGTTCATGTCAATTTATTGAGGAGAAGCATCCATGATGGGCCCCTCTACACAGCTGAGAGGTGAAGATAGGGTCTCCAGCTCCTCCTCGTGAGGCGGCCTGCCTCCTGCTCAGCCTATCTGGTAAGGCAAACAGCAGGCGGCACCACCGCAGTCGCAGGTGGAGATGTAGTACCCGGTCTTCAGGCAGTGAGTGCCACATCTGCCTCCGTAGTTCCTGCAGATGGGCTTGTCCTTACAGGTTCCTGCAGGAGGAAGAGAAAGGCAGTGTGGTTTAGTGGTTAGAATGTTGGACTAGGCCCTGGGAGACCAGCGTTCAAACCCCTGGTCAGCTGTGAAACTCACTGGGTGCTGTGGTGCTTAAATGAGGAGGGAGAGAACCATGTACACCACATGGGGGAAAGGTGGCATATAAAGGCAATAATGAATGTTTAATAAATATTGAGGCAAATCAAGAGCACCTCCCCGTGGATGGAGCTCCCACCAAGGATCTGCAGAGAGGGAATGCCCAGAGCGGAGCGGGGAAGTGGCGCTGTGCTGTGAGTCGTCTGCTTCTTCCGTGGAGTGAAGCCGCGCAGCTGTTACCGGAGAGCGCTGCCTTTTCCTGGGACAATTTGGCTCTAAAACAACGATCCGTGAGTAGGCTAACTTTTGAATTAAGGGAACTTTACAAATTTTTTGAACAATTCGGTACCGAAGCGGAGAGGTATAAACAGGAAGTCTGCCTCCCGCTCTTGTAAACAGAGTAAAGCAATGAACTTGAAAGCGGAAGCTTTAAAAGACGTTGGAAAAGGATTATAATTCGAGCATCAAAACTGTGATTCCCCCCCCCCCCTTGATTGCAGGGGAGGAGGGGGGAGAAGGTTTGAACGTTATTTGCCTGAAAAAAGAGAGGAAGAGGAGACAAAAGCCACCGCTTAAAACCCTGGAACGGGTTCCCAGTGACAGTAAGAAGCCGTATTGGAAACTGCGCTGTTGGCTGCCTTTTCTCTACCTGAAGACGTCCTTCCCTCCTGAGGGAGTGGCTTCCGCCTTTAGTCATTTTGTTTGTCCTTTTCTGAACTTTTGTCTGGAACACAACACCCTTTCTGAGGGGAGGTGACCTCCTGTTCTCCTTGCTGTTCTACCTCTAAACTGTGACCTCTCCTTAGAAATGCCTCCCAGACCAAAACACTATTTGAAGCCCAAATGAGGCTCCAGTTTAGACCCAAGACTGACTGCTCTATACCATCGCTTTCCCATGGGGCCCACACGACTCCCTTGAGGTCTGTCTTCACCATAAGGACATAAGAAGGGGCTGCTGGATCAGGTCAATGGTCCATCTAGTCCAGCACCCTCTTCTGTCAGTGGCTGACCAGATGCCTGTGGGAAACCCACAAGCGGGATCCAAGCACAAGGGCACTCTTCCCCTGGGGGATTCAGAAGCCTTTACTGCCTCCAACTGTGGAGACGGAGCACAGCTATCAGGGCCAGTAGCTATTGATATCTCTCTCCTCCATTAATTTCTAGAATCCTCTTTGAAGGTCATCTAGGCTGGTGGCTATTACTGCCTTTCCTATGAAACCCATACCTCTCCCTTGAATTCAGGCCAAGGCAGAAGCCCCTTCACTTTCTCTTATCAAACACAGCCCCTTCTTCCTACCCTGTAGAAATCCGGTTCATACCTGCAACAGCCATGTCAGCGACAACCAACATCACGATGGCCAAGGCAAGGTAGAGAGCTCTCATGGTGGAGTTCTGGTTGGGTTCTCTGGATGAACGCAGAAGGACAGTGGATGAGCTGAGGACTTGTGGTGCTTCCAGTCAGGAGCTCTGCTCTTTTATAGAGAGAATATCTGTGTCAGGGAACTGACATCGGAGCTAGAGGTGGAGGGAAGGCTCTCCAATGATGCTGGAGAAGGGCCCAGCAGGGAGAGAGGCAGCTCAGCAGATGGGGAAGCAATTCAGTGCAACACCAGGAATAAGGAGGGGCAGATGGGGGAATCGGTGAGAGGGCTCCCAGACTCTTCACCGGACACCAGCGGGGAGAGCACTGGTCCTCCACTACCCATGCCCTCCCTGCGCAGAAGACTTCCGCGCAGAGAAAGTAGGAGGAGACTGGGTGTCAAACAACTTTTATGTTGGAAAAGGTTTAAGAAACGCCCACTGACGGATTCTGCTAGCGACTGAGGCAGCCACGAATTGAAGGGCTGTCCAGACAGAAAGGTTTAACAAGGCAACATAGCCAGGAGAGGCGGCAACTTACGCACGAGCAACCCCATACCATTATAGCAATCCGTCAGTCCCTGACGTTGCTTGTGCACAGCGGCAGGCAGCATCATGAGCAAAGCCGGGGAAGCTGGCGCCACGGAGGGAGCAGCAGGAGTGCAAAATCTGGTGGAGAGGAACCGAGATTTGGAGCAGCATGTGGCTCTTCTAACGGCACGGCTGGACGAAAGGCGGTCTCAAGATGCACAGGTCAGACCCACCCCCGTAGCAAGGAAGGTACCGGGACTAGTACACAAGTTTGGAGGGAAGCCTCAGGACTATAGTGCGTTCTGGACGGAAATAGAGTACGCTTTGGAACTGCAGCAGAATGATTTTGCAGACGACGGGGAGCGGGTGGCTTATATTGTTGGGCATCTGCAGGATGGGGCCAGGGAATGGATCAGGCCCCTAATGGCAACGCAGAATGCCGCCTTGAAGGACCTGAGGAAATTTTTTCAGGCGATGGACGCAATGTACTCCAGTGATGTGCAGCAAAGTGTGACTCGGCGGGAACTGATGAACTGTAAACAGGGGCACCAGTCAGTTAGAGACTACTGGTCACACTTTGCCATGTTAGTTCACCGGCTCGGGTGGGAACTGGACTCTGAACCCATTCAAATGTTGTTCGAGGAGGGGTTGTCCCCAACGGTGAAGGGCGAGCTTTCCCGCGCACCCCGCCCGCAGTCGATGGATCAGCTGACCAAGGCTGTGCTTGCGATTGGTGTAAGGCAGGAAGCGCGGGCTCAGGAGAAGCGGGAACGGAGAGAGCAACGTTACCATGACTACCGCATTCCTGAAATACAAAGGCAGCCTTCCCCGCCGGCGGAGCCAATGGAAATAGATGGGGGGCGCGCGCAGGAGGTTTCAAATTCCAGCGACGGTCGCAAGAAGGAGGGAAAGGATTGGAAAACTAATAAGAAGTGTTTCCTCTGCCAGCGGCCAGGACATTTTGCCAGGGTCTGCCCTCAAAGAAAGGCCTGGCAAGGAATGGTGGGAGCTGCAGGGGGTGAGGAGGATGTTGAAAAGCTACGGAGCCGGGAAACGACAACGCTTGGCTGCCACTCAGAGGGCACAGCAGCCAGGCCAGCAACCAATAGGAGTGCCCCAACCAGACCCCCCCAGGGCGGCTATAGCCATAGAAGTGGTGCTAGAACTCCCGAATGGGCACCCAGTCAAGGTGAAAGGGCTGTTGGATTCAGGCAGTTCCTGCAATTTCTTCAGCAAGGACTTTGCACTAGAGCACCAGCTCCACCTGCTGCCCTTAGATTTCCCCTTGCAAGTAACCACCATTGATGGCAGAGAGCTACTGGGAGGGGAAGTGACACACCAGACCCCACCAATGAGAATGAGGGTTTCCAAGCACTCGGAGACCATCGCCTTTCACGTAGCCTCACTGGCAGGGCCCCCAAGAATATTAGGGATGAGCTGGCTAGCACAACATGATCCAGTGGTGGCGTGGCATCAGAGGACGGTCACCTTTGGGTCCGCTTACTGTTTGGAGCACTGTCTAGGGGGGGAAACCTCAAGAATGACTGTGGCCAGGGTGGCTGGGATAGCTGTGGAGCGGAAAGGGGAGGTGCCACCACAATATGCTGACCTGCAGGAGGTCTTCAGCGAGAAGGAGGCGGATAGACTACCCCCCCATAGGACCTTTGACTGCCAAATCAACTTGCTCCCGGGGGCGCAGCTGCCGGTGGGTAAACTGTATGCCATGTCGGACAGGGAGATGAAGGAGTTGCGGGAATTTATTGACAAGAACCTGAAAAGAGGCTTCATAAGAGAATCGAAAGCGGTGGGGGGCAGTCCGGTGTTCTTTGTGGACAAAAAGGACACAAATAAACCCAGGCTCGTTGTGGACTATAGGGCCGTCAATTTGGTGTCGGAACCCATGACCTTCCCGATGCCCAGGATTGATGACATTTTAACACGGGTGAGGCAAGGCAAAATTTTTACCAAGCTGGACCTCAGGGGAACATACAATTTGATTAGGATGAGGGAAGGGGACGAATGGAAGACCACAATGTTCACACCCCTAGGGGCCTTTGAGTACCTAGTTATGCCTTTTGGATTACAGTCGGGCTCCGCCTGTTTTCAAGCATTCATGCACCACGTGCTGGGGTCCCTGCTGTACAAGAACTGTGTAGCCTTCTTGGACGACGTCTTAATCTATTCGGACAATGAGGAGCAACATGTCAGGGACATCAGGGAAGTGCTAAAACGACTGCAGAAGCACCAGTTGTGGGTCAAACTGGAAAAATGTCAGTTTCACGCCAGAGAAGTCGAGTTTCTGGGGTACAGGTTGTCAGACAAGGGCCTAGCGATGGACCCAAGCAAGGTGCAGGCAGTGCTGGAGTGGAAGGCTCCCAAAACCCAGAAGGACGTGCAGAGGTTCCTAGGGTTCAGCAACTTCTACAGGAAGTTCATCAAGAACTTTGCCCACTTGACAGTGCCCATCACAGATTGTCTCAGTAGCAAAAGGAAGTTCGTCTGGACAGAGGGAGCCCAGCAATCCTTTGAAAAACTGAAGAAGGTGTTCGCATCGGAAGAGCAGCTCCTGTACGTGGATCTGGAGAAACCCATGAGGCTAGAGACCGACACGTCCGACAGAGCCATTGGGGCGGTTCTTTTGCAGCCAGGGAGGAGCAAGCAGGAATGGAAGCCATGTGCCTTTTTCTCGCGAAAGCTGAGCAGATCGGAGCAAAACTATACTGTGTATGACCGTGAACTGCTTGCGATCTATGCGGCGTTTTGTTGATGGCGCCATCTACTAATAGGGGTGCAGCACAAGATCCAGGTTTGTACAGATCACAAGAACTTGGAATACTGGAGGACCGCACGAGTACTCAACCAGAGACAGATTCGATGGGCACAGGAGTTCTCCAAGTTTTCCTTCGAAATCCGATACGTACCTGGGGAGGAAAACGTGAGAGCAGATGCGCTCTCCAGGAAGCCAGAGTACTGGGAAGGAGAGGGGCCACCGGAGATATGACACGTGATCCCCGAGGACCGGTGGGTGTGGGGGGGAATCTTGGTGGGGAAACGAGAACTGGCCGGACTCACTAGAAACGACGTGTTCGCACAAACTAAA